AAACTTTTCTGCCAAATGCTATTAAGTGGCTAACTGTACAAATTGTAATTTCTCCCCTTTTCTCTACCCTGCCCTTCCCCTTAATTTTCAGTCCTTAATACATGTTTACTTCTTCCTTACCTGCTGGTAAGCTTCTCTGTTCTTTGAAACCTTTGCCAGCCAACCCTAATCAATGTAGGTCACCCCACTGAGATCCAGAATTCTAACGTAAAAAATGTCTGCCCAGCCAATGTGTTCTTTCTTACTTGTGTGTCCTCAACTCCCTCGCCTTCCTTTTCAATGGCCCCAGTCATTGATACTCCTTCCTCAACGCAACAGTCCCAGACCCAGGTATAAGTATTGGTGAGGTGTCCCAAGTTCAAGCTGAACACCTCCCTCACCCTCCCAACTCCCTATCCTATCAAAACTCCAGGTTGCTCAAGGTCTTAATTTCAGTTTATAGAAACGCATCTGATTGTACTAATTTCCATCCTTACCTGACATACAGGTATTTGAATTTTAAAAAAGGAAACCTTATTAAACCAAGGAAATCTCTCCTTGTGGAAGTGCAGGAACATGAAACTCCTGCTCCTGCATGAAAGTGCAGAGCAGAGTGTAGGGTCTGGGCGGAGGTATTCAGAAATGGCGTACTGTGCTTGTCTTTCTCCAGAGGTTTGAAAATTTGAAATGGAAATGAGTTATCCCAAACCACTCCTTGGTTAACCCTTGAGGTGCCACGATAAAGACATGCCCTTCCTCCTCACAGGGATAGTCTTTGTTCTTGCATAAGCAATTAATCATCTAACATGAACAATCACAGTCAGTTCCTAGGGGCCAAGTTAGGGCTTTCATAGGACATGCTCCATGGCAACAGTCCAATCAGAGAGAATGACCATTTTCCCAAACGAAAACCAAAGGTGAAACATTCCAAATACCTAATATTTACTTCTTTGCTCCTTTGTGATGCTGGAGAGAGAGGAACATTAGAGCAATAAAGTCATGTTCTAGATGCTTGTGTCAAACATCTCAAGTTTAAGTCTGACAATCCCCTTCCCATGGGCTTTTCTTCATGAAAAATGTGGTCTCAGACTCTTGGTGACACGATAATTTAGCTTTTTCACAGAGGGCATCAGAGCAATTAAACTAGAGTTTTGCTCATGAACCTAGACATACTGATTCTTGAAAATAAATGCTGCATTCATTCAAATGAATGTTTCCCAATCGACCCTAAACCACCCCTTACTATATCCTTAACATCCTCTTACATCTCTGTCCGCCAGGCAGAGTTATTGTTTTGGGTAATCTAGCATTTGCTGAGTGGCCAGGAGCACTCACAACCTCATACTCTTCACATGGTGTAAAGGAATTTCCATAGAACGTCTGAGCCAGAACCTCCTGAGTCCCAGCCTGTACCACCTTGGGGCCTCATTCCCAGTGGCCGTGATGGAGTTTCATCACCTATCACCCCAATCTGTATGTGGGGAGGAAAGACGTTGGCAAAGGAAACCAGATTGTCTCCACCTCTCTGTAAGCTGGTTTGGTGGTGAGGATTATTTCTGTTCACTCTGAGCTAGTGCAATATGAGCATGATCACCAATTTGGGGACTCTTCTTCAAATCGTCCCCAAAACATCCTTTCTCCTTTCTCTAGAGTTCATTTCTTTACTGATATCTCTAAACCTTGTCAGAGGCCAAAGGTAAATCCGGATGGCTGTTAACTGAGTATCTATCACATGCTTTATAGATATTACTTCACTTTAAGATTTTAAGTATATAGGGGCACCTGGGTGGCTCAGTCTGTTGAGTATCTGACTTCGGCTCAGGTCATGATCTCATGGTCCGTGAGTTCGAGCCCTGCATCGAGCTCTGTGCTGACAGCTCAGAGCCTGGAGCCTGCTTGGGATTCTGTGTTTTCCTCTCTCTCTGCCCCTCCCCTTCTCATGCTCTGTCTCTCTCTCTCAAAATAAATAAACGTTAAAAAAAAATTTTTTTTAATAAAATAAAATTTTAAGTATATAATGCAGTTTCTGTTTTAAACTGCCAAAGCTATTTTTGAAGACATCTTGAGATTTCCTCTCACTTGTGCCTGCCACTCACCAATTTCCCCCTTGGAGGCAAAGGATGTTAACAGTTTTTAAAAGTTTCCTTCCAGGGGTGTCTGGGTGGCTCAGTCAATTAAGCATCCACCTACCGATTTTGGCTCGGGTCATGATCTCACGGCTGGTAAGATCGAGCCCTGCATCAGGCTCCGTGCGGACAGCATGGAGCCTGATGGAGTTTCTCTCTCCCTTTCTGCCCCTTCCCTGCTTACACACATGCTCTCCCTCAAAATACATAAACTTTTAAACAAATAAATAAATACAAAATAAAAGTTTCCTTCCTGAGATGGTTCATGCAAACAGAAAACACACCTTTACACACACACACACACTCTCTCTCTCTCTCTCTCTCTCTCTCTCCCCCCCACGGTCTTTTTTAAAAATCCAAACAGTAGCATATAGCCTGTTTTCTGTCATGTGTTTTGTTTTCTTTAATAATATATCTTGGATGGCTTTCTATTCTGTTACAGATACATCTTCCTCTTTTTTATGAATGCATAGTATTCCACTGCATGGAGGAAACATAATTTATTTTAACAGTTCTCCATCAATAGCCAGTAGGTCTGTGCCCAGTCTTTTGCCATTATCAACAATGCTACAATCAGCCAATCCTCATGGATGTAAATACGTGCAATATCCATCTTAGCAGATGTTGCCAAAACACCCTCTACAGTGGCGGTATAATTTGTACCCCCACACCCTCACTAATATGGTGGATCTTTGAACTTTTTGATCTTTCTCAAACTAGTATCTCCATGTAGTTTTTTTTTTAACGTTTATTTATTTTTGAGACAGAGAGAGACAGAGCATGAATGGGGGAAGGTCAGAGAGAGAGGGAGACACAGAATCTGAAACAGGCTCCAGGCTCTGAGCTGTCAGCACAGAGCCTGACGCGGGGCTCGAACTCACAGACCATGAGATCATGACCTGAGCTGAAGTCGGATGCCCAACCGACTGAGCCACCCAGGCACCCCATCTGCATGTAGTTTTAACTTGCACTTTCTTACAATCAGTGAGACTGAGCATCTTTTCACATGTTTTAGTAGGAATACTAGCCCTACCACGTAGGGGTTGGGTGAATTTGAACAAATTAAAGTCTGATCTATAAAGTTGGGACGATTCTTACCTCAAAAGGTTGTTGCACAGATTAAATGCAATGATATAGGAAATGCATGTTCTACTTGTTAATTTTCACCATTATTTTTCCAGTAGTTAATAATTACTGGGGCCCCAGAAGCACAAGCTAATAATGCATTAAAGGTCATGGGAAGTGTGATAAAGGGGAGAGTTGTGTGGCCCAAAGGTTTTCGATGAAATAAAGAGCTGTTGTTGAAGGTTTGCTTACGACCATTCCAAAATGACAGTTGGTTTAACACAACATCATTGAAATTCAGTACAAATCAGGACTGTTTCCGTGAGGATAAAAAATAACCATGCATAGTGGCACCTTAGGTGTGGAGTAGAACATTAACACCAGAAGCAAGCTATGTAAACTTGAAAACAGAAACTCACTTATGAATCCAATGTGTTTTGGGAATGAATTGTTGAAATGCCAGCTCTGACTATTTTACGTTTTCAGACCCATTGCAAACCACCTTCTGTCACTCCCACTGAGGCATTGTACAGCACAAGTAAACATCCATCAGCGGATTTTAAACCTCTGTAAATAAATGGTAGATTGTTGACAAAATTGTGGCTGTCGTCTCAGGAAAAAGACTGCAGCTTCCATAAAAATAAAAAGAACTATTCTGAGGCAGACTATCGATATCAGGTGTTAGATGCTTTGATATACAATTAAAATGCTTGAAACTCGGGGTACCTCGGTGGCTTATCGGTTAAGCGTCTGACTTCGGCTCAGGTCATGATCTCACAGCTCATGAGTTTGGGCCCTGTGCTGACAGCTCAGAGCCTGGAGCCTGCTTCAGATTCTGTGTTTCCCTCCCTCTCTGTCCCTACCCTGCTCATGCTTGTGCGCGCGCGCTCTCTCTCTCTCTCAAAAATAAATAAATATTTAAAGAAAATGTTAATAAAAAGTAAATAAATAAAATGCTTGGAACTCAAATGGCAAATGTGTCTACAATCTAATTTAGAAACCCTCTATGTACAAAATTATCGGTAAAGTTGAAACCACGAATCACCCAAATTTCCTTAATCATATCTTTTAGTCTTTCCATTTATATTGTATTAATAAGTACAACCATTGGATTTGGAGACTGTGGGTTCCAAGAAGAGATAGGAAAACAATGATTGTGACCTTCAATGTATTTTTCATGGAAAGAAGAGGTTACATATTTATATAAAAATATTTACATATTTTTCATTTTTTGCAAAAGAAGCCAAGTAATTGTTTTTATATTGGAAGGAAACTCTATTGTTACATATTTATAAGTTTTCTGATCCATAGCATAGACATCAAAGAAGTTTAATACTCAGCCTCCTTTCCATTGTTAAATATACTCTATTCCAAATTTTTAGAAATCCATTAAAAGGAAAGTAAATGGGCTATCATTAAAGATAGCATCCTTTTCCCCTAAGATTTTTTAAAATGTGTTTTTACATTACAAGTACATAGATCTAAAATGAAGAATTTAACCAAGTTAGATTTAATCTTCCATGGGGAGTAGGTAGGCAACCTACTGTTACAGGATTTGTCACTTTGAACCACACATATCGTTGTAGTGTTGTGTTTCTTACAAGATTTTGAGATCCTGTTTGGTCTCTAGCACACTGCCTGGCACTTGTTCGTACCCAGTAAATATAGGGAAAGAGAATGAATGAATGAATGACATTACTCACATTTCTTTTTTAGCTTCATGTAGATAAAAGGTTTCTTTGACATTTTGCCTATTGTTTTGAATCATATAGCATTTACCAGGGGTTTATTACTATCTGAAATATTGAGCAATATCCATTCCTCAAGAAGTATAGGCTGAGAATACGTGTTCTGATCAGCAGATGTCCTGAAAGCCACACGTCTCCAAGTGTCTCAGCCACACCAAGATAAGCTGTCTGTGGTACGTACACTAAGTCTCCCCTGAAATTCTTAAGTCCCAGCTCAATCCACAGCGTGGGCTTCTCCTCCTAATGACCTCCCAGGAACAACATCGCCCAGTGGCCACAGGCTCACTACATGGCTGACAAAGTTAAGAGGAATGAATAGAATGGATCTGAGGGCCCCTAACACCACACACACTTAGCAACAGGCCAGCTAGCTCAGAGGTGCTCTATTCACAACCAGATGCGATGGTTCTACCCAATCACCATGAACTCTTCATTATCAGTTAAGAGCACTTGCTGCTTATATAGGTATTTTGGGGAAATCTCATGATATCCAGTTTTATACAGTCTTTTATTTAGGCCCAGAAACTTCAATCATAAGGCTAATTTTCTAAATAATATTATAAACTCCTTGGAGGTGGAGACTAAGTTCAGGAATCGGTTCAGGATGACGTGATAGAGACTCCTGGTGGTAGAAAGATTGGCCTCCTTAGTCTTTTTATTAACTGAATTAAGTGATTCGATGGTCAACAGGTTAGAAAAGCTGAACCATGTTGTTTCGGTCAAATATATATATGTTTTTATATTTATATACAAACAGAATGTATATCTATATACACACAGAATGTAAAAATGGAACCATTTTGTCACAGTGTTGGGCTAAGGTCCCTAAACATTATATGCCACAATTCAAAGTGAAACCTAAGGCTGCCATGCAGTGTTGGGGGGAGAAAAAGAAAAAGGTACCAAGGGAGATTTCACTCTTTGCTCTCACACATCAAGGATATAAAAGGATCAGGAGTTGGGAAATTAGAGGATTTTCAGAGAAAGTAATTTGCTGTGTGTCCCCCTCCTCCTCAGACGGAAGACGTAGGACATGCCCACATTCATTCCAAGCCCTGAAAAGGGGCTGCAACACAACACAGACTCGAAAAATGTCTTCCGAGAACTGGCAGACACAATGACCCCGTGGGTCTGATGCACTTGGAAATCTGAAGGACAAGAGAACCTGGCCCCCTACTCTGTACACAAGCCAAGGGCAGACGGTCCTGTTGGGACTGGGCTCTGCCCACAAAGTTTGTGGAAGCGAAGCATGGAGCTGATGGCCACTGCTGGAGAGAACTAATGCAGGTTCCACGTGGATTCGGCCCACGAGGACAGCCTGAAAGGGGGCAGGTGACCTCAACAGGAAGTGCTTCGTGGATACCTGAGACTGAGGAGGAACCATCCATAACCTGCCAGAGGCTGTGATATTACCTGTGGAGGGAACCACAAGTGAAAGATCCCAGGAGCTGGGGCGGGGGACGTGTATCAAAAGCACCTGTCGGGCGCCTGGGTGGCTCAGTTGGTTAAGCGACCGACCTCAGCTCAGGTCATAATCTCGCAGTTTGTGAGTTCGAGCCCCACGTCGGGCTCTGGGCTGACAGCTCAGAGCCTGGAGCCTGCTTCCGATTCTGTGTCTTCCCCCTCTCTCTACCCCTCCCCTGCTCATGCTCTGTGTCTCTCTGTCTCTCAATAATAAATAAATGTTTAAAAAAATTTTTTTAATTGAAAAAAAAAGCACCTGTGAAGGAGCTCCTAACACCTGCCAGACCTAGAAAGCATGACACCAGCTCACCACAGCATTTTCACCCCCCTTTTCTCTGCTCTGGACGCACCTATCCGAACCCTGCAGGGGTCAAACATTCAGCTGGCAAGATGCACAAAGAGAAATAAATGTGAAAGACGGAAAAAGAGGCCAAGTGCCCTCTCCCCTGCTCGTGCAGCAAGCTTGTTTGAGGCCTGAACTGGGAAAGGGGAAGAGATGTGACAGTAAATGAAACTCACACGGTTTGATATTTACATTGGACTGGTTGTATTAATTAGTGACTGGAGGTCCTTTATTACTTGGAAGGGACCAGAAAGTCTTGAGATTTGCTTTGCATTTCATCCAGGGAAACAGCTGGCCTCGCAGAACATATTTAAAGGCACAGTGAATACTCTCTTATATTCCATGAGACCCACTTTTCTGTGTAATGGTCACATTTACAGTCCTTCAAGGTATTCAAGCTTCTCACACCCCTTTCCCCTACTGCCTTCAAGAAATAGAACAGATGGGGGCGCCTGGGTGGCGCAGTCGGTTAGGCGTCCGACTTCAGCCAGGTCACGATCTCGCGGTCCGTGAGTTCGAGCCCCGCGTCGGGCTCTGGGCTGATGGCTCAGAGCCTGGAGCCTGTTTCCGATTCTGTGTCTCCCTCTCTCTCTGCCCCTCCCCCGTTCATGCTCTGTCTCTCTCTGTCCCAAAAATAAATAAACGTTGAAAAAAAAAAATTAAAAAAATAAATAAATAAATAAATAAATAAATAAATAAAAAAGAAATAGAACAGATGGATTCCATAACTGGTCATTGAGACCAACTGGGGTGAAATTGGCTAAGCCAAGGAAGTCAACACATCTGCTACTTCTTTTCAAGGATACACTGATGCCCAGCAGAATAAAGTGTCTTGATAATTCTTCACTTGTCAAATTACAGATTTTTTAAATAAGGCAACAAGAGGCACTCCAAGAGGTTCCATTTATACCTTTGTAGAAAGAGGTTTATACCCTCGTATAAAGCCACAATGCCTATGCCTCCTTCAGCAACATTTGTATGTATGGATGCTTGTTAGTGCCATTGTTTAAAAACACAAAACTGCAGGGGACAGGGGTCTGTGTTTTCATTAACCACTCCCTAAATCAAGCCCAGCAAGGGTGAAATGAAGAAAGGGTATATTCAGTTCACAGAGCACCAGGCCCCAGTGGCACGGCTGCTCTCCAGCACAGCGCCCTGCCTGCAGCACGTCTGGAACTAGATCAAGGGCAGAAAAGGCAGCCTCTTGCTGCAGGATGGACAGGAGACTCAGGCACGCAGGGCTCGCAAAGAGCATCTGACTTTGTCCGTTGGTCCTGGCCCCGCCAGAGTCAGGAAAATTCTCTCAGGAAACAGACCACTACCGACCACCTCTGTAATAGCTGTTATCTAGAACAGCCTGTGACTTTAAAATCATGTCAAAGTCAGGAGCATTGTGAGCATGCCGTGAGAACGAGCCAAGTAACCACAGGGTGTGAGGGCTGGACAGGATCTTAGGGGTCATCCAGCTAAACCGTTATAGTCTTCCCCACTGCCCATTCACACAGAGGGTGAGACTCACGGGGTGTAGACATCCCTCTTCCAATCTTGGGCTCTCTGCGACCCTTCCTGCACCAAGATTCTTCTCCCGCAAAAAGGACATTGATCTGGGAATAACCCTTTTGCACGAAGCGCATAGACATCATTTGACAACAGAGTTCTTGAATCCTACTGCCTGGGCAAGTCTCATTCCACAAGTCTGTGGTCACGGTACAGTCCGGAACTGTGTGCATCCATTACACCTTTTCTTTGCATAGACTGGGTACAGAGGCCCTCATGGGTTGAGTGACAACATAGAATCATGGTCTCATAGCTCGTTACAAATGGATGAAATCTGTGTTTAGTGTCACCTCCCAGTAAGCCCAGTGCTTACCTGCTGTGGCCAGTTCTCTTTGCTCTGTCCTAGGATCTTTCAGTGCTTTCCTTTTGAGATTTTTACCCTCTCAACAAAATTCTCAGCTTCTCAGGGCACAAGCAATAGGGATTTTGAGGGAAATGATCACTCTGGGATGTTAAGGGGCCATCCCAGGATCAATTATATAATAAAGGGAGTGTATCCTTAAGCCACCATGGTTCTCAAAATAAGGTCCAAAGCAACTGCATCAATGTCATCTGGGAATTGGTACAAATGCAGATTCTCAAGATGACTCATTCTTTCCCTTCTTTACTTTCTTTCCATATCTCAGTTCAAATGTCATCTCTCCCTGACCACGCCAACTAAAGTGCTCCCCCGTGCCCCTTCTTCGTTCACATCTCCATTGTCCTGTCATTATGATGTTTTCTTATTCATAGCCCGTTTCTATCTTGGTCACCATAATGGTTGGTTTGATGCGTTAACTTGGCTAGACTGTAGTACCCATTTAATCAAACACTAATCTAGGTGTTTCTATGAATGTATTCTGTAGATGTGGTTAACAATAACAATCAGCTGACTTTACGTTGCCTCCCATATTGTGGGTGGGCCTCATCCTGTCAGCCAAAGGCCTTAATAGCAGAAACTGAGGTTTCCCAGAGAAGAAGAAATTCTACCTGAAGACTGCAGTGCAAACTCCTGCCTAAGTTTCCAGGTGGCAAACCTGTCCTACAAATTCCAGATTTGCCCAGCCACCGCAATTGCAGGAACCAATTGATAAATATTACTGAAGCATGAACAGCGTAAGTCTGAGGTGAGGGGCACTGATGTAGGAACTTTCTAAAAAGAGAAACCAGTATATGCAAAAGCTTTTCGGTAGGGAAAATAGCACGTTAAAAAAAATCTTAAAAGAATCCTAAAAAGTTTCAGCAACTGGAAACCAATGAGGTAAGTGACGGTGAAAGTGGTTACTATGCCGTGTAGCCTAAGAACCTTTAACCCAGGAGCAACAGACTGCCAACAGATTCAGAGAGAAATGAGAAAAGGATATCTTATGACCCTGAGTCACACATTTGCCTAGCTCAGTCTTTTTTTAAGTTTATTTTTATTTATTTTGAGAGAGAGAGAGAGAGAGATAGAAAGCGAGCAGGGGGAGGGGCAGAGACAGAGGAGACAGAAGGTGACAGAATCCCAAGCAGGGTCCATGCTGGCAGCACAGAGCCTAACGCAGGGCTCAAACTCACGAACTGTGCGATCATGACCTGAGCCAAAGTCAAGAGTCAGACGCTTAACCAACTGAGCCACCCAGGCGCCCCTTGCCTAACTCAGTCTTGAAACCTTGTCACTTGTCCTCTGATCTTAGCACAACAGAAAATAAACACTAATTTTTAGATTACCAGCAATCAGAATTTTCTTTGATGGAATAATAGTATAAATGAGACCCATTGAAGAAAATAAAAAGCAGTTTCTCCTGTTACTGAGCTTGATACAGTTCTTTGATAGAGTGTTTTTATATTTTAAAATACATATGTTCTCCCAAAGCTGAACATTTTGAGCAACAAAATGAAGTAATATTAGATTATAACTCAAGAGTATAAAATAAATACCCATGAATCTATACTGATAACAATAAATGATTGAACAAATAAATAAATGGGGGAGAACAGACAAATCTCCCGAGTAGAAGAATTCCAAATAACTTCTGTACATACTTTGTCCTTAAGGAGGGGGAGCATAACCCCCGACTCCTAACAGTGCATTGTGCATAGTGACTTTCTTCCAAAGAATACAGTATGGAGAGGGAGGAAACTTAACTGTAGAAAACTCACAATGCTACCTCAGCCAGATGGTCAAGGTCAACATCAATAGTCATAAATCATGTTGGTAGTATATAACTTTGATATGATGTAAGGAGAATGCCATATGACCTCTGTCATCTTCCTCCCAAAAAACCCATAATCCCTGTCTAAACATGAGAAAAACACCAGACAAATACCAACTGAAGTATATTCTACAAAATACCTGACCAGGACTCCTCAAAAGTGTCAAGGTCATAAAAAATAAGGAAAGTCTGAGAAACTGTCATAGCCAAGAGACACAACAAAATATAATATGGCAGTCTAAATACTGGAATAGAAAGAGGACGTTAGGTAAAAGGTAAGGAAATTGTTATAAAGCATGTGCTTTCATTAATAATAGTGTATTAAGGGGGCGCCTGGGTGGCGCAGTCGGTTAAGCGTCCCACTTCAGCCAGGTCACAATCTCGCGGTCCGTGAGTTCGAGCCCCGCGTCAGGCTCTGGGCTGATGGCTCAGAGCCTGGAGCCTGTTTCCGATTCTGTGTCTCCCTCTCTCTCTGCCCCTCCCCCGTTCATGCTCTGTCTCTCTCTGTCCCCAAAATAAATAAATAAATAAATAAATAAATAAATAAAACGTTGAAAAAAAATAATAGTGTATTAGGGGTGGCTCAGTCAGGTAAGCATCTGACTCTTGATTTGGCTCAGGTCATGATCTCACGGTTCATGAGTTTGAGCCTTGCATGAGGTTCTGCACTGACAGCTCAGAGCCTGCTTGGCATTCTCTCTATCTTTCTCTCAAAATAAATAAATAAACTTAAAAATAATAATAATAACAATGTATTGTATTGGTTCCTCACTTGCAGTAAATATACAGTTCTAATGCATGATTTTACTAATTGGGGAAACTGGGTATATGGAACATATAGGAAACTCTACTGTCGTCACAACTTTTCTATACATCTAAAACTGTTATAAAATTAAAAGTTCCTTTAAATACACACACACACATATATATCTTCTATGAAAACTGAAATTACTTTCTAAATGGCCACATGCAGAATTTCAGACACCGCTT